TCTCTGTTCACCTTCCCTCCCCGATGTTGCTGCAGAGCAGAGAATGATCAGATCTGTGGGTAAACGCAACCCGTTTCCCACCCTGCCCTCTTTGTAGCTGGCTGTAGGTGGTGCTGTTGGCAAAGAACTCCTCCGCTTTGGCTGCTGAATGCTTTACAGATCGTAGAACCCGCAAGTCTTCAGGTGAAGGGATGTGTGAGCTCTGCACATGAACACACGTGAATGCTCAAAAGCAGGAGGCTAGACAGGAGGAAGGGAGAGCCTGCCACAGGAAAACAGCAAGAAGTTACAGCTCTAAATCAGAAAGATGCTGGCCTAAATGCATACAAAGTGGCATGGTTTAGTGGGTAGCATGGTTGGGTGGCATGATTTAGTGTGAGGTGTCCCTGCCTATGGCAGGGGGTTGGAACTTGATGATCTTAAGGTCCTTTCCAACCCTAACTATTCTATGATTCTACATGAAGAGTGTTGCTTTAGTAGGGAGACCAGTGCAGGAAAAATGAAGGAGATTCCCATCAGCCATACACGGATACACATGGAGCTAGGACAGGAAGGGAATATGTTAACCGAAGTCCAACCACATACTGTCATAGACAGGCTTAGCTACTCCGAGTCCTACTAATAGTAGTGTGTATGTGGGAACTTCCTTGCCTGAGTAAGTGCTGTAAGGTTAAGATGTTGTACTAAGGCTTCACCCACATCCTACCTGACTTAAAGCTTTTTTGTACCCCTCTCAGGAAAACAGAGTCCCCCACAAGCAGTTGGCACCTACACACTTGTAGGCTAGTGTCAGAGAGAGTTGAAGGACCTGACAGGGGCTCACGGCCTGCATATGGAAGTTAAGAACTTCTGGAATTAAAGCTGAAAGTCACCTCACTGGGGACAAGAATGACTTTGCTGTCAGTAAGGGGCAGGGACAGATTCCAGCACCAGAACACTTAGTACCGGCTCCAGGATATCTTATACCATTTCTCCTGGGTCTTGGCCAGGGTAAGACATCACTCAGCAGCTAATTCCAAGATAGCAACAAAGGCATGTAGTCCACAGAAAGCACGCAGATCACTACGGGAGAGGAAGGAAACCTCGGAGCGTCTCCAGCCCTTGGAAGTTGGCCACGCTGCTTCTGAGCAGCAGAGCTGTGCTGACCACCAGCCAGAGGCACAGCAACGGGATGGGTTGCCAAGTCACTACCGAGTAGCTCAGCTCTAATAAATTCTCAGCATACCAGTAGCAGTTTTCCCTAAAGGCTGACAAAAAGTGGGTTTCCAGTAGGAAAAATAATAGAGGTGACTTCACACACGCACTGTGGATCTTGGGCCAGGAACCATGCTCAGACTGCAGTACTGCCCTTGGCCATGGGGTGAGAGGCGAGGGCAGAGAATCTGCCTGCCTCGGCTGGTCTAACCGCCCATCTACTACCTCCATAGCCCAGACAGGAGCTCTTCACTTCCACCAGTCACTCTCGTTCCCTCTGGCCACAGCAAGGGCTGCTCAAGTGGGATTTGCTTAAAACCTCTTGCTGTAAAATAAATCCATTAAACTAAACTCTAAAAACAAACCCAGAAAGCCACCTCCCTGAACACCAAACTTGATTCAATTATTGTAGTGAGAGGCAGTGGTAATGTTAGGAGGAGGAGGGGGTGGCCAGGCAGATCTGGTTTCCTTTGATCTTGTCACAGATTTTAGTTTGAGGCCAGCCAAAGCCATTCTTCTCCCCTTCTCCTTAGTCCTGGGGCAGCAGAATGCTGCTGTTTCATTGATGACTCCCAAGGCCCTTTGAAACAGTGTTTTTTTTTCTGTGTACTGCTTTTTTTTTTTTTTTTGCTTTTTTGTTGCTTTTTGCTGTGTTTTTTTTTTTGTCTAATCGGTAAGAAGTTAACACTTCCTTAACATGTCTTTGTGTTCATCTAATCTCTGCTGTTTAACCTTTGACATCTCCCTTATTATCCATGTCTGCCACCTTTTCCAAATACCGACAGCAGTGACAACACAGAAAGGTTTGAGCCCTGCGGTAACAAGCTGCGTACATTCCTCCCACTGCACCAGGAGAGCCATTTGCCCTTTGTAGCTGTTTCCACTGTGACTTGGAAAATAAACTGCAATTTGGGCAGAGGTAGCTAGAGAAGCCAAGCCTTACACACAGCCAGCTGAATGCAGAACCCTTCATGGTATGACAGCAGCCACTGCCTGTTTGCACTCTGCTCTGGGCACCTTGTTACCAGCTACAGGCCAAGTTCTTGGAGAAGATTGTCCATGAGAGTTCTGAAAGAGAGAGATTTAGAACACAGCTATGCCTCTAGGTGGGAATAGGACCACCAGTGTATTTGGTGCAGCCCCAGAGAGAAGCAGCAGATGCAGAGCAAGCCATGCCAAGCAAGAAAGGTCTCAGGCAAACAGATACAGGTCTGCAAGGCTCTGGTCCCCGGGTCTTAAGAAATCTTTTAGCTAAGACAGACAGCAAATAACCCCTCCCATTCTGAGACATATTCCCTTTCCATCATACTGAGCAAAGCCCAAGATTTTGCTGGTGAAAAGACACAGGTGGCAAAAACCTCTCTGTCCTCTGCTTGGATGTGAGAAGTAACCAGGATACTGGGATAGAGACCAGGAAAAGAACTACTAGGGGAACATGGAGTGCAGAGGAGCACTACAGCCACCATGGAGGCTGCATGGAGATGCTGCAGAGCAGAGGCTCAGGTGAATGTGGGCCTGGAGCTCTGTGCCCAGGAGTATGCCTGAGCACCACCATGCCACCAAAGCAGGAAATCATCTAAGAACCATAGGAAGAGGGGAAAAAAAAAGGGTGTAGTAAGGGTTGCAACACAAAATGGTGCATCACACAGGAAAGTTACTGCCCTGTGTTACAGGGCACAAGGGCTTTAACAGCTGTTTGGACAATAGCTCATGGGAGCTGATACTTAGAGGGAATGAGAGGCCATGAGCAGGGACAAAGACAAGGGACACCTGTCCCTAACCATGTCTGGCACTACTCAAGGACAAGCTGGAGGGACCAAGCTTGCTCTCACACACCACAACCCTTCAGGAGTTTGCCAGCTCTGATTTCCACTTTGGAGGTTTGTTTCTAGTGCTCCTGCCAGCCTCAGGGCACCAGCAGGCACACAACATGGCACAGGGTCCTCCTGCCAACCTGAGAGGTCTGTTGTCCTCATCTACACCTCATAGAACAGCACTCTGTAGTTCAGTACTGCTAACAGGGAATAGGAACCCCACCTTCCTCATTTCTGTCTCCTCTTTCATTTGTAGGTACTACAAGAAGTTCTCTATTCCTGACCTGGACCGATACCAGCTCCCCTTGGATGCAGCTGCTCTGAGCTTCACCCATGCCAACAACACCCTGATCATCACGGTGAGGTTTTACCACACAGAACAGCACTTTGCCCTTATCTTTATGGCCACAAAGAAGTTAAAATTCTTACATGTGGGGAAAGGAGGCAGAGCAGGGTGATGTGCTGAACACTGATGAGCCCCCTTCTCTGTACACGGTCAGTGGGAGCTTCAGATTACACTGGGCATGCTGACACTAGCCAGGACAGCCCAGGCTGCAGGAAGGGCCCTGCTTGCTGCTCAAGGTGACTTGCAGATGGAGGAGTGTCAGCCATAGCCCATTTTCTATGTATTCCCTTGCTCAGACCTGAGCAAGCATCCACTCTCAGTGACAGGAAGTTTCTTTTGCCTCAGAGCATAATAAGGGTTAAGAGTCCAAGGATCTGCTGCACTTAGAGGTCTCACAGTCTTAAAGTTTAAAATCACCTGCTGCTTTGTGTCAGAGAGGACACACTTCCACACACGTGATGGAAGTGAGAGACTAGCAAAGCGGGCACTTCCTTCTTGTTGCAAGGAGCAGACAGACACTTTTGAGCAGCAGGTGCTCATCTTAAATATAGAAGTCAGTTATCCAGAGAGCATCCCCTCTGAGGGAAACCTTGCAGCAGAGCTGGGGGTGCACATGCAGGGGAAATAGGCCAAGAGGAGCACCTTGAGTCCGTCCAAGCTTCTGTTTGCTACAGACCAAACCCTTGCCAAAAAGCACCTGTATCCACCACTAAACTGCAGCTGGATGAGGGCCCTCTGAGGACAGAGGAACTGCAACTCTTACTTCTCTGTCTTTAAAAAGCAGGCATATTTTAGATATATGTTTATATACACACACACACATATATATATATTACACATGTAAGCATACAGTCAGTGAGCACACCAGGGAACTGCATGACACAGGTTGCCAGGATATTCCAGAGAGGTTGGTGGGGGCCAGGACTCCACATCTGACTGAGGAGTTTTACTTGCATTGTAAGACACCCCAGATTTGGCAAATATGCCTAGCTTGATGGCACCACCTCTCCAAATGGGCTTTGGAGGCAGCCGGTAACAGGAGGGCCTCATTTGGCAGGAGAGCCCCAGCTGTGCTGGCAGCACACGGCTCCAGTTGGTCTGCTTGAAGCAGAGGCTCAAGAGGAGTGCTACAGACATTTCTCTCTGTCCCACAGTACCAGAAGCCGAAAGAGATCCTGGCTGCAGAAGAGCAGCTGCAGAAGGAGCTGAAGAAGGTAAAGGCAGCTAACAGTGGGGATGGCGACTGTAAGACCCAGTAGGAAATGGCTGCTAAGAGGCTGAGGTGGGGAGCAGCTCTCTGACATGGCTTCATGGTATTTATTTTGCCTTTTCTAATAAAAATTAGTCCTGTTGTTAATAGAGCCATTTGGAGGAATCTGTGTAGGCCCAGGGAGATGACAGGGAGGTCAATCTCTTTACTGCCTGGTCTGCTGATTTACATAGACATTTATGATTCTTCTATGAGTTTTGGGAAGCTGCAGCATGCAAAGGAAGAGCACCGCATCCACAGCCAGCAGCCCTCTTCCCATCCTCCATGAGAAGTGCCATGAAAGCTGGATAGCTCCCCATGGGAATTCCCTCTCTGCCACCATTGCTGAGGGCAGTAACATTTGGAAAACAAGACACAACCTCCCTCACCCTGTTACCTGTGTGGGGTGTGCTTGGCAGCAACTCCCTCCTGCACTGTTGTGCAAGGTCCTCCATACAGCGAGAAGGATGCTCTGGTATCTCTGCACACAGCATCAATGCTTAGACCTGACTGGGCACAGGCTATGAAACAGGGTGTTGAGGAGGACACCCAACTGCTTTCTTACCACCAGCCATGTGCAGCGTGCCGTGCAGAATGCAGGCGCTATGCAAAGCTGCCTTCATTTGCATGGCATGGAGGAGAAAGCGACAGGGACTGCTGAGAAGAGCAGGAACTGAAATGCAGCTGCCTTCATCTGCATGGCACAGAGGGGAAAGCAGTAACAGGGGCTGCTGGCCAGCTCCCAAGTAACCGGAGCACACCCCTTTCATGAAGGCACAAACAAACCTTGCCACACAGACCCCATGCACAGCACAGAGACAATCCCTGCAGTGCTGCTTTAGTGACTAGCCCTCCAACCAGCTGCTGTCCCTACCCTGCACCAGCATCCTGTGCTTTCATTTCTGCATGTCCTTGCATCCTGGTTCATATTTGAACAGCTCCTACCCAAACAAACACTACTTTTAAGTGAGCCAGTCACAGGCTCCTAGTGTAGCTCCCCTGACGAGGACTGCTTTCAAACAATGAAAGCTTAATGCCTGGGTGGCATCCCCAGTTAGAGCCTCACTGCTGGGTGGCTCCAGGACCCAACGAACAACATGGTCTTCCCAAGACAACGGAGGCACTATCAACTAGCAGAGGTCATCAGAGCCAGTGCACCAGCCCCACTTGCAGCTTCCCCCTTCCCCAGTGTCACCCAAGATGTGAGGGTGCATCCTTCTACCCACCAGCGCTGGCACCACCATTGGGCTGCAGCTCTGCTTCAGGCTTCAGCCAGGAAACACCCAAAAGCAGCTAGGAGGGCAAAGGACCCACCAACACAGGCTGCAGGAAAGAAATGGCAGGACTAGCAACAGCAGTGTTGCAGGCAGGCCTGCCATGGGAGGAGTCTCCTGCACCACTGATACTTGTTCACCTCCTCAGCTGACATGCTCATTCCTACTCTGGGCCTTACCCAAGTCCCAGTGTAATAAAAAACCTCTCCTCCTACCCAACAGTTACTCTCATTCCTTCACAGTCTCTCCGTGGGGATACTGCCAAAGACATTTAATATCTCCATCCCTCTCTCCCAGTTTCATTAAAGGACCTGTAACACACCAGGACCTGAGAAAAGCCAGACTTCCCCTACTCCCAAACTCTGCCAGCTCTCCCTCTAATCTTCTATCTCCTGCCTAATCACTTACCTAAAACTCTCCTCACATGCACAGCCCAAGATACTCCAAGCAATACAGCAGCAGTATTTTGCAACCTTGGATGCAAAGCACCATCTTTTCAGCATCAGTGTTACCAATAACCCAGAGACTCCCGCAGGATCATTATCTTTGGGATCTATGGCTTTGAGCTGATGGAAGATTGTTCCAGCCATAGCATCTTTTTACAGGTTGGGCCACTTACACATCAATTCTGCTACTTACACAAGGAGACTATGTAGCACTGTGGTAGCTACAAGGGAGCTGGCAGCAAGCAGGCACAAGTGGCAGCAGAGGAACAGGCACAGATCAGGAACCGTGACAGGGAGCTGTGCTGGAAAGATTCTTGTGAGCACATAATCCTGCAAGAAGGCCATGCTTTTAAATTACTTTGCACCCTGAGATGCTGTCTCATATCCACTGGGAATGGAGGGTTCCCTTCAAGAAGGTGAGGATCTGGTTGGTTCCACTCCCTCCCTGCTCTTGCAGGGGCTCCAGCAAACATCTCATTCCAATTTTTGTGCATCACACGGGAAAAGCAGCCTCTTGACTGTGGAAATTACATTAAGTTCCAACAAAGCACCATTCTGGGTGCTTTGCCCTAGAAGTGTTCCCCCACAAAACCTCTCCTTTTACCTATCCAAGATACCCAAACTCACAGGTAAGTAGGGTTCACACACCTCCTTCCAGTCAAAAAGGTCCAGACCCCAAACATGGCTGCATCCACCCACAGCACATCCGTCCACACACATCCACATTCATCCAGACAGCACGGAGCACACTGAAAGCTACAGTTGTTCCGAAATCCAATTTGGATTCAGATGGCTGACACAAAGAGGAGTGGAGCCCACTTGCATGTGCCCACAGGACCCTTCAAGGTCTCAGTGTTTACTGCTTCATTATGCAGACAGCAAGCGAGATGCAGATCCTACTTCTTGAATTCTTGTTTGGAAAAGTGACATGAGATCCAGGATCCCAGGAACTGCCTTCAATGCAGCAGTGTCACAGGATCTAGTTAGGGAGAGAGATCTGTAAGACAGCATCTGAAAATAGGCCCAACCTCCTCTGCCCAGCCAGGCCTCTGCAACCAGCCCATTTTGAACTTGAAACAAAACATACAGTCTCTTTTGTTTCCCTTCAGAGTTTTTATTTAGCAAAATGTGAACACTTCAGCCCTGCCAAGTGCACAGCCTGACCTGACGGCCAGCTTGGGGAGGCATACACTGAAAGCAGGGCTGGCTCTGCCTTTTAGTTTAATTTTTGCTCTTAGTTGCAAAAGACAACACAAGCAGCTCTCAGGAGAGCAAGCACAGGTGAAAGGTGGGCCTGGCTTCAGGCAACTTTCCCTTCCACCAAATCCCTCCACCTCACACACAGCCTAGACTTCCTTCACATGGCTCAGAGCGTGGCTGATCCCAGCCTGACCAGCACACACAGCTGACAGGGCATCCCAACTCAAGTGCCCCTCAAATGCTATATCCCCAGCAAAAAAAAGAATAAAAAAGAAAAATAAAAATGTTAAGAAACCAAACCCTGATTTACACAAAATAAAAAGGTTAAAAGGTAAAGGACAACAGGCTGTCATTTCCACTAACAGGCAGGTGAGGTTGAGAAAGTCTGGCCCTTTGTGCACTCTTCGTTGTAGCTTTCTGGTAGGCAAAAAAAAATCATCCCTTCAAAAGCCTTGGGGGCCATTCTCACCTCTCCTGCCCTGTGGTTCCCTGAGCCAAGTGTTAACTCTGCTTTGGGGTGACCAGAAGCAGCTGTGGTGCCCTTTCATGGGGCCGTGAAGTCTAGGACGTGCAGGGCTGATGCCAGGGCAGCATACAGACGGGTGGTACTGAAACGGAGGCAGTACACTGGGCTGCTGGTGGGTGAAGACAGGTGAAAGCTCTGCAAGAAAACAGGAGAAACCACCTTTCAAAGAAAGGTCAACACAAAGACCACAACCAGTATTACAGACCCAGTAGCTGAGATGCCAGAGGCTTTTCCCTGCTAGGTTCTCCACAGTGGGCTTGCTGCAAAGACAGTCCAACAGCCCCTCTCCCTTCTTCTAGAGAGACATGGGCACTGGGCTGCCAGAGAACAATACAGAAGCTCTGCTGCTGCCCAGCCTCCAGTAAGCTCTCACCTGCAGGCACCGAGTCTGCCGCTTGTCCCAGAGGCGCACCACACCATAGTAAGAAGAGCCACTGGCAATCATATGGTTCTTATCACTCCTTATGCAGTACAGGGCGCTGTCATGGGGCTCTTCCCACTCCTGGACGCACTTCCTGGATGGGCAACACAAATCGGAGCTGAACCTCCACTCCACCACCACTGGAGCTGAGCCCCAGTTTACCTGAAGGAGCTAATTCAGCTGCAGGTGAGTCCCCAGATACTGTCCAAGGAGAGCCCCAGAGGCCAGCAGAGTATGCTCACCTGGTGCTGGTCCGTATGTCCCAGTAGCGGATGTAGGTGTCATACCCACAAGAAAGGAGAAGGGAGGGTGTTTCGTAGAAGACGTCAAGGACTCCAGCTCCACGGTGGAAGTCAGTCCCTAAACAGGTCATCAGCTGACCACTGCAATGAAACACAATAGGGGAAGAGTCATTCAGAGCAAAGTGCCCTTCCAATTCAGCTGGCCACAGCAGAGATGGCATCACAGGAGTCTCCTAGATCTTATTTCTGTGGTTTAACAGAATGCAGAAGCCTGCACAGTCTTCCTCTCCCTCCCCCAGCTTCTGCTGCTGGTTCGGCCACTAATTGTCATGGAGGGTGACCAGTGGGAATCACAAGTGTAAGAGGACAGGCACAACTGACCCCCAGCAGAACAGGATCATTCTTCTTGGGAGAAGTGACCAGTACTCCATGGAAGACAATTATCAACTTAGTTGAACTCCAGCACTTTTGCGCAACAGCCACTTACCTGGTCAGTCCCAATCTATCTCAGACTCCGTCCAAAATACTGCCCACTGGGCTTTTTCCCCACATCTCTGACACACAGCTCTGATCCACAGGCAAGTCAGACTCTCCTGGCCCAGTCTGCCATGGCTGCTCTCCTCAATCCCCTCCAGTTACACTGGCTACCGCAACCACTGTTCTCTGGGGTTGAACATGACAGGTCAAGAGTGACCACCGCAGGGCTGCTCCAGAAATGACTTTCCAAAGACTAGCTTTTCTTTTAAGACCCCCTTCTCCTTCTTAATGCCCCACTTGCTGTGAAGAGCAAAAGCAAGAGCTCCATAAAGCTCTAAGCCAGATGCTTTCTCACCACACCACTCTGCTCCTTGTTCATGTGCTGAACCAGCAGCAAATCAGATGGATGATGCCTGGGGAGGGCAAACCCTGCTAGACTGCAAGAAGGAGCTTGAAACCCTTCCCTGGGCCATATGAAATTGCCATCGGGCACATGGCACAGCCCGTCCCCAGTATCACTCCACTTGCCCAGCAGCCAGCAACCCCCAGCCATAGCAGACTCTTGGAGGGGACAATCTGCCCAGCTGCTTATTGCAAACCCTCCATGCCTTCCTCCTCATACCCTCCAAATAAAAAATGCCGGACACAATAAACCTTGAAGCACCTGCTTTTCAAACCCTGCTGCACGGCCACCCCTCTCCAACAGCCTCTTGGTTCTCAGGACAATGAAGCGGTCCTGAAAGCCGACAGCACGGATCCCGCAGTGGGGTCACTCCCATCATCTCCCCCCATTATTTTGTTACTTTCTGCTCCTTGATCCAGCATCACACAGTTCTGAGGCACATCGCCAAATGCCTTAATTCTGTCTGTAATCTGGGCTAAAGCCCTCGTCGGGGGATAAAGACCACACAAAAGGAGAAATAGAGTCCCGGGAGATGTTAAAACAAGTAAACACCTTTGTGTCAGGAGAGAGAAATCGCTGATAAAGCAGATTAGCGCCTCGAGCCCTGGTGTCCCCAGATCAGAAGGCGAGCCCTGGCCGATCTTTGCAGCCAGCACGCTTCTATGATCACAGAGCTGGCGGCATGCTGGGGCCAGCCTGTTTCCCCACAGTCACTCTCCAAAGAGCAGATTATGTAGAATAACAATTTCTTTGTGGCTGTGTAATTCCCTCCGTGACCGTGGCTGTGGGCAGCTACATTGGCCCTTGATGCCAGGGCCCTAGCAACCATTTAGAGAGGCCAACCAGCCCTAGCGATGCCCCCCCCCCCGCAAACCTCTCGGACAAGCTTTAACATCAAGTGCATGAATTAATCCCCCCCAACACGAATCCAGGGGTGCTGGCTTATTGGACTTTGTGTTTCTTCAGGCAAAGGATCGAGGGGATTCCAGGCTTCAGCCCTTTGCAACCTTCTCACAATACATTAACCCTTGGAAGGTTACTTGCAAACCAACCCAGCAGCAACTCTGCACCTGTATGCAGGTCGAGATGTTGAAACATTTGCAGTCTGAGCACTGGAAGCAAGAACTGTGGGGTTTGGCTGGGGCAGATGGGTCCTCAGCTCCACCATGAGAGAAGCATGGATGGGCATCTCTGAGCTCTGGCACTTTCCTGCCCCTCCAAGCACACAGATCTCCTCCACCTGCCATTCTGCAAAGCCAGCAGAACAGATGGAGGTGCACACAACCCTTCTCAAGGCTTCCACAAAGCTTTCTTCACCTAATAGGTTATATGTGCGACCCAGAGTTGTAAGATGTACAACAGAAGTGTGAGGAGTCAGCTCCTCTCCTCAACAAGCACTACCTGTGAGATGCTTAAGAGGCCAGACTGTCCAACAAGCCATTGCTCAACGTCCTCTGCCCATTGCTCAGGCAGGAGCAGGGAGTTATAGGTGATAAGCAGTCTCAGTGAGCTTAGACCCCTCTCTCCCCACTTCTGCACGCTACTTGCATTTGTTTTGTTTTGCAGGGTAGCTCCTGGACTGATGCTCTGAACACGTGGCAGTTTGGGAGAGAAAACCAGCATGGTCAGCTGCACATGTGCCATGCATCCCAGCAGCACATCTGGTATCTTCTGCTCACTTGCTGAAGCCTGTTGATGTTACTTCCCCTCCACCATTTTCCCTGCTAATACACCTTTAATATGTAAAGGGCTAAGTGAGCTCAGGGAGAGAGAAGCATTATGCTGGGGAAAGGTAGCAAGATGCAGAAGCACATCCAGGGATCTTTTACTCACTGGGACCTCTTCCTCTTCTCAGATGATTGATGCAAATCACAGCAGATCTCCTCACAACTTCCCACCTCTAAAAAAGCAGCCATCACACCCAGAATGAGCCTGGCCATAGTAAAGCTTGTCTTTCATCTCCCATACAAGACCAGACCTTGTAATGCTGCAAGATGGCAGCAATTTTTAATGGCAGCCTGGTGACATCTCCAAGCAAAACATTTCAGCAACAAAGGGACAGGAGAAACCAGACTCTGGACTCCTGCTTTCAGAGCTTATTGTTCAACACTGACTACCACCCAGGTGCCTCTCTCCCAGCATTTTTCCATGCCTTCACACCTCACTGCAGTGGTTCCCAAGTATTCCAGAGTCACTCCTGTTTTCCTCCCTCCCCTTTCCAGCCTAGGCAACAAAAAAGAAGAAAAAAAACTGTGTGCATGTGTGTGTCTCTGGGAATGATTAGTTTTTCTTTATAGGCAGGAAAGCAACAGGTACTTGCAAGTTACTGCAGCAAAGCAAACCTTGCTTAGCTGGTTTGTTCATCAGTTCAATTCTCCTGCTCCAAGAATAGGTCAGCCAAAGCAGCTTTCAACTGGGAGGTCCAGCCCCTGCACGCAGCAGTGGTGCTTCAGCAGTTTACAGAAACAACACATTAGTTGCTACAGTGAAGCACTTACAATCTGACACCAGGGGAAGAAAATCATACTGTGCTGTACACTGGGCACACATATCAAAAGACCTGAGTGTTCTGGCACAGGCACACTTAAATTGATGAAGATGCAGAACACGATTAATATTTCCCCCATGTTTCAGCAGATTAAGGCGTCTCTGGACCAGCTACCACCATGCCAGGCTAGATCCATGTAGCACACACGGCCATGCTGAGCCCATGCTGGGAAGGGAACTCTGCTACCACAACTCTCACAGCCTTGGGATCTCAAGTTAGTACCCACAAATTGTCCACTCTTCATTATCCCAACTACTCTCTGCCATCAAACCCCAGTCCCCAACAGGTTCCACATCCTAGGGAGCAAAACCCACAGCTAATCCTTAATAATCCATAAAGGATCAAGATAAGCCATCAAGGAGCAACAAAAGCAGTAGATACACAAGCACATCACCCATTGTTTTCCAACTTACATGGGCAGAAAATATCTACTCAATGAGGGACAGAAAGAGATGTGATAGTTAACTTGAACCTTAGTTCTCACTGGGATCACAAACATGACAGGTTTCCTGGAAAGACCAGTCTAGAGCCAGAGCTCTTGGCTTCAGCACCTTAACCACAAAGCACCTGGGCCAACACGCAGCCTACAGCCACACAGGTCCTGCTGAGCCCCCAGTGCTCAGCAGGAAACTCACAGATATTCCCAGTATCTTCCACTTTCTCTTAAGCATCTAGACAGACTGATATCATACTGGCAGTAATCCAGTACCAGCCCACAGGGAACAGAGCCAGAGCAAATGCAGCAGCCCGTTTTGTCCCTAGCACAGGAAAGCTGTGTTAGCACCAGGCTCTGGACTTGTTGCCGGTAGAACAAGATGTTTAAAGAAAGTCCCTGTGCCTGGGAAATGTATCAAACCACTGAGTCCAAAAATGAAAGGCATTTTGTTCAGGCACTACAGAGAATCCTTTGATACATCTCCATCAATTCCCATGTTCTTCAGAAAGCACGACTTAAAAAAATTACTTTTCAAATAAGCTATTTGTTCAGGATTTCCACATTTCACTCTTTTAATGCTGGAAATCCAGCCACAAGCACTGCTATCATGATACTTCCAGAAGACAGGAGTCTTCTAAGGCTCTATTTCTCCTCACCCCGGCAATATGCAGACAAAATAAAACTGGTCATGGCAGAACCCAGATGGTTACTTTCCAGCTAACACATGGGATGCTGATATCACCTAGTTAAAGCCATCTACAGCCTCCCAGGCCGCTTCAATTATTTGTGTTACCATAAAAGCCCAGATTTCTCCAAGACCTTGCTGATAGCTGGAGTCCAAAAGAAGTCTGCACCTTTCTCCCTGTACCCTGCCCATTTGCTGCAGGTCTTGGCCAGCTGTCTCCAATACACATGAACTACACTCCAAGAACTGGGATGAAACAGTAAACACATTTCTCCCCACCCTCAATTTCTGGTCACTCCAATTCACTAAAACCGATATTATACAAATATGCAAATTATAGGAAACTGCTGAATCCAGAACATCTGCTGAAAACAGATGTGTGAAATTAAAGACATACTCATTTGCTCTGGAAGCCTCATCTGTAAACTGTGATCATCCACTGAAGAGAAGTCATTGCACATGAGCAGGTGACTATTCAGAAACCAAGCAGAGCTCTAAACCAGTATTTCAGCCCCAATAACTACTTGCAACAATCCAGGTGAGAAGCATATACTTTAAAAAAAAGTGGAAAGAGCACCATTCAGTTCAAAACACTGGGATATCCGGACTGAGTATCAAGCAGAGGAAGGAAACAAAATCCATTTAAAAACCATTATCTAGAGTGCAGCATTTGCACAACTTCCATCATTCAAGTTGGAGAGTTCACCAAAACCAAAGGGAAGAGCTGAGCTCTTGACTCTTCCAAGTCATTGCAACAGCAGCTGGGGCACGCAGGGAATGCATCGTCTTACGCTAAGAGGGGAAAGTCTTGGTCAAACAATGTCTATAATGTGAATAGGGCAAAGCACAGGTCCTTGGCAAATACATTCTTCATAGTTACCCTATGCCAAGGTTACTCCTGCACTTAGCCAAGGCTACTAATTCCTGAAGGGAGATGTGAGATTGGCTCGGGGAATTTTAAAGGAGCACCTCGATGTGAAATGGCTCAGAGATGCTTTTGTAAGTGATTTGCAGAAGAAATGCCTCTCTCTGCTTCCTCAGCACAGCTGAAGGGACTCGAGGCAGTAGGGGGGAATGACACCAACGATGGTTTGAGATTGTGTCAGGGGGACACAGAAGAGGGAGTTTTGCCTTCTTTTCTTCTGCTTTCTCTGAATTGGCCCACACACGCTTTAAATGGTCCAATAAAAAGATACAATTTCTTTACCTTTCCAGCTCTGGGACCCTGTGAGTTTTTGTTGTTCGGGTTCCCGTAAGGTTAAGTTCAGAGGATAAACTGACACACTGGGCTATGGGAAAAAGCCAGTTTCTTCAAATAAAGCCACAACGGTGCAAAAGAGACCCTGCTGGGGCTTTTATTTGGGAAAACAAACAGAAATGGCACCAAGCCCTTCTGCTTTACGAACCAATTTAACTATAAAACCAATGTTCTCCCTCTCGGGGGTGAGGAGGGGAGAGAGACAGGACATGACAATAGTCCAAAACCTTGGGGGGAAAAAAGAAAGAAAAAAAAAAAGAAGATAGGACAAAAAAAGGTTGTCTGTCCTCTTTTCTTTCTTGTCCATGGCTCCTTTTCTTAGCACACGTGTGTTCTTGTAAAAACGATTAGATTGCAATTTGTATAACATGGTGACCCCCAAATTCAGACATTTAACCCCTTTTCTCTGCAAAGAATGTCAAGAATGTCTTCTCTGTCTTTCTTTCCAACGGGAGGAGTAGGGGGGAATTCTCTCAAACTGTGATTTCTTGGGGGAAGAGAGAAAGAGGGAGGCGAGGAAAAGAAGCAGGGAATTCTCAAAGCCTCTCGCCTTTCGCCCCACTTGTGTGGGAACAGGCGGCTGTATTGCTCCCTTTCTGGACAGAACTCTGCAGGTCTCCTTTAGTGGGGAGACAAAAAAAATGGAGAGTCCAAATCAAAACAAAGCCATCTGTTTAAATGAGCCACTGCTAGCCAGTGGCAGAGGGGGTTCCTCATTCACTCCTTCCCATTCTTCTCTCATGCCACTGTTGATTCTCTCTCAACCCAGGGAAAAATAAAGATTGCTTTTGCTTTGGCTCAGAGGGATGAAACTGATTGATGTGCTTGGAGTGTCCTGCCCCCACCCCACACTCTCCAATTGTTCAATGCCTTGTAAAGTTGTCATAAATATGCCTGAACAGGAGTGCAAAGGCCACAGCATGCCCTGGACATGCACACATCCAAAGGGCAGTAGCTGGCCTCATGCTCATCTCCAGTGAGACAGGGCCAGATTGTCATGAGGAGGAAAGGATTTGGGATATGTTTTTCCTTTATACAATGGTTTTACATTTAGGTTAAGATGCACCAGAGCCCTCTTAACAGAGGGAAAGCAGAAGATGTCCAGCTTATGTAGCAGAAGATGTCCAGCTTATGTGAGAAGGTTCAGAAAGATGATGTCAAAAAAAAAAACAAACAAACCCAGAAATTACTAAAGAACCACAAGGCCACAAATAGTTTTGTGAACACATGCATACCATGGGAAATACACTGCATGTAAGACTGGAGCTATCCATTTATAGTTAAGAGACAGAGCTCTGAATGCAACAAAGTCTGTGAAAAG